TCTTATATATTAACTGAGCCAAAGGAGAACAAACCCTTGCTGGTGGTTGCAGGGGAAGGTGCTTAGAGTTTAGATAGCATGCTATGATTTTCCACAATGACAGGGCAGGAAGTCAGCACATTTGTAGCTCAGAAATGGTTATTTTCAGAGACCAGAAAGCTGGAATTCAAACTCTAGCTGAGATTTTTTAAGATGCAGGGCACCCACTGAAATATTTGCCATGTATTTAGGTTTATCCAGAGGAGAAGGGGGCTTATTCCAGACTCTCAATGCCCCACCATAAGTTATAAGAATAAAATTGAGCCACCCAGTGAACACCAAGCCTTGCTCCCCAAATCTGGATTCAAAAGCCCATCTCTGTATCACATGTAAAGGTACATGCCTTCCAGTATGCCTCAGGTCAAAAACCATTCTGAAACAGAGGGAAAAAAACCTGCCCTTGAGTTCAGTGACCCTCATCCTCTTTCAACATGATTTTGGATCCAACTCAAGCGTCTCCACCAATCCCCACTGTGGCAGCATGGTATGACGAGAGATATGATCTCTCACGTGGCTGCAAGCCAAGCCACGTAGGGCTTTGCCGAACAAAACCAACGCCTTCAGTTTAACCCTGAAAACAAGAGGCTGCCAGCACAGACCGTGGCACACCACTGACATGTGCTGCCACTGAGAGGCAATGGCTTGCTACAGCCTGCACCAGATAATATTTCCAGGCTGACCCAAATTGGAGTCCTGTATAAGTGTACTGCAGAACCCAAGCCTGGACACAGAGGCATGGCTTACAGTAGCAAGCTGTGCGCTTTGCAAGACTAAAGCTTCCTCCTGTGCAGCAAGAGAAGAGAGACTGGAAACCTTAAGTCCAAAAGCCACAGGAGAGAACATACAGCATTTCTTTAACATCCCCCCCGCCACCTTTGCCCCCCATAGGTATAAAGGAAAAAAGGCCTGGAAATAATGGCCAAGGTACCAAGGCAAAGTTTTTAGAGCAAGTGATGGTTCTGGGGGTCCACATTTTAGGGCCATCTGTGGACACTTTAAAGGTCCTGGTTTTCAAAAAAGGAACTTGACACATTATGTAAAACAACAGGCCCTTTAATACACCCAGTCCCAGTCACTCAAGGAACCAAAGAGGGAATCAAACCACGAGTGACTTCAACAAGCCGTAACCTACTCACTCTACAGGGAGCCACAGCGCTCATTTACCTTGTTCAGGACCAGGATGCTAGGAATCTGCAGAAACCTAGAAAGACACTTCAGCACCTGGGGACTCAGCTGGTTCCGTGTCCAGTGATCCGACACATCCACCAAAACCACAACTGCCAAGCAGAGAGAAACACCTGAACCCTCTCTTTGCACAAACTGGCCTATGGTTCCCACCTGACCAGGATCCCGAGTCATTAGCTTTCTCGGTTTAAAAATCCCCAATTCTCTGATGAAAGAACCCTGAACCCACATTTTCTGTGATTAAAACGAAACGCCGCTATACGAGTATCAGTTGAACAAAACGTTTTCTTAACATATTTAGTATTTTAAAGCAATTTGGAAGCCTACCAGTGCCTCGATCGTTATAATAAGATGCATTCTAAATACCTATTTTGGTGTTTAAAACAAGCAAAAGTCAATTATACAACAGGGGTTTTCTTTTTTTTTTTAAGAAGAGCACCCCTCCTGGCAGCAGTGCCCGGATGCAGAGCGGGGGTGGGGGTGGGGGCCGGACATGAAGCAGGGGCGTGCATACAGTCGTATGGCCAGTTGCGTGTGCAGCTCCACAGGCTGCTGACAGGCCTCATGCCTGGCCAGTTGTGCCCCACCTGTCAGCAGCCCACGGAGCTGCATGTGCGACCGGCCACGTGAAAGCAGCACGTGGCAGCGTGGGGTGGTGGATAGCAGTAGCCGCGTGAGGTGCCTCCCCTCTCCCACCCCCACAGGCTGGCACCTGTGCGGCCCACAGAAGGGAGATGCTGCCCTCGCCCCTCCTTCACCCTTCTCCCCTAGCCCTGCTCCTGGGAGGCAGTGGCACGGGGTAGTGGGTGGCAGCGCTCTCCCTGCCCACCCGCACGTACCCCCTAGGACCTTCCAAGTACCCCCAGCTGACAACCCGTCATAGAAAATCAGAGCTCCCCCTGCCCCTTCACTAACCAGGACACAGGTCCAGCTGAAGCTGTCTTCCACACTGCTTTGTGGCACCAAGCAGCCCCGATATACAGGTGCCCTGCCCATGCCCTTGCCCCAGCTGCCCTCCCACATCACGGAGCTGCCTGGACTGCTCCACCCAATCTACAGACAGTTAGGTATCTGTGACAATAGAGGCCACAAGCACCAGCGACAGAGAAAGTGAATGGGGCTCTCACCCAAGTCTGCGTGTTTCATGCTGTCCCACGGGTCAATGATGAGGGACTTCTCCAGATTGTGCCTGTAGGACAGATGCACATTGCACAACTACACAGACACTGGATCGCACACCACCGCTGCACCCATTTCACATCTTCCAGGAGCCAGCTAGCACAACACTGCCTTGGGGCCTGCAACGTCTCTTGCTCTGGGTGCACGCACATTGCTCAGCACCACGCGGCCCTGACTGAGACTGTAGCCCCCACTTGCTCCTGTGAGACCAGCCATTAGTGCAGCGACAAGCACGAGGCTCAAAATGCTCAACGATCTACGAACACCTCATGTCTGCCCTACGCGGGCGCCTATCACCTCTTGCCCTGCCCCTCGTGCTCCTGCAGCAGAATCCATGCTCTAGTCCCCTCGAGCCCGGGCCAGCCGGATTCTAGTTTTACCCACGTTAAGAGTGGTACCTTTTGGCTTTCTGAGGACTGGTGAGGCCAGGTGTGTCCAGAATGATCTGCAAAGAGAAAGACAGAGCAGCAACGCAACACAGATCTTTCTGTAGTTCCTGACATGAAGCTTAGACTCACATTTATGCGATTAACCCCAAGCAAAGGGCAAAAGCATTGCGTGCTAGCTGCCCGCCGTGGCAATGGGGTGCTGTCCGACCATGCAGGGAAACCTACCAGCTGAGTGTCTTCGTGTGTGACAACACCGTGGGCACTGCATCGCGTGGTGTGCACCTTCTTGGATACCGGGAACGCCTGCAGGAGCCCAATGCAGACGTGTACGTTACTTGGGGAAAGTCAACCAAACCAGCCGGCAGCCTGACTCTACGGCACCGTCCAGATCACAACAGCACAGCTTTACCTTCCTGCCCAGCAGCTGGTTGGAGAGGGTCGATTTCCCGGCATTCGGTGCCCCAACGATGGCGACCCTAAGCACCTTGGGGTTGTCGGGCTGATCCGGCTGCTGCACCAATAAGCGACCTTGCTCCGCTGCAAAGAGGGACACAAAGCGTACCAGCACCGTCACGACACCCGAACCGCTAACGCCAGAAGCCAGAGATCCCGCGACACCGCAGCGCGAAGGGGACGCGGCAAGACTGCTCGTCTCCATCCCATCTGCGAGCGCGGAAGGCGGCCTCGGCACCTGCCCCCACCCAGCTTCCTGCTCCCCGATCCCGCCCCAACGCCCACCGGCCGACGAAGGGATCGGTCTTCGCTAGCCCCACAGCACGCTCCGCGCTCCCGCTCTGCCGGCACCGGAGCGGCTTGGCCCCCGGCCCCCTGCCAGCGCTACTGGGCCAGTCTCCGTGGCAACCCTGGCCCCCGCGCTGCTGGCGTCTCCATGAAAACGGGGCCCGATGCGGCCCGCCAGCCGATTTTGGCCCCGCGCGCCCCGAGGCGGCAGCAGACGAGGCTTCTGGGGCAGAAGCAATGTGCTTGACTAGCCCCACTGAGTCCTGGGGAGCGTGCTCCCGCCACTGAAGAGCGCGCGTGTCCCGCAGCAGGGCGCTCACCCCCGCAGGCCGGCACGGGCGGCGGGCGCTCGCGGGGCGGCCCCAGGATGGCGTGCGGGCCCGACCTGCCCGCAGCGCAGCGCGCAGGACAGGCCGCGCCCCGGGCCCGGCCCTCCAGCAGCCAGCTCCCGCTGAGCCCCGCCAGGCGGCCCCGCAGCGCCCGGCCCGCCCCCGCCCGCAGCACCACGGCGCTGGGTGCCGCCATCTTGCCCCGCCGCGGAGCATGGCGGGAGCCCCCAGCGCCGCTCCCATTGGCACCACGGAGAGCGCGGAGCGGAGGGGCCAGCGCGCGCGGGGGTTTGTGGGGCGCGGCCAGCAGGCAGGGGGGGCGCGAGGCCCGGCTCCGCCTGCGCATGCGCTGTGGGGAGTAGGTGCGTCCTGCATTTGCGTTGTGTACCCCGTCCCGTGCCCCTTGCACAAGCTTTACACATGCACTGTGCGCTTGCACCCGTGCTGTGCAACCCCATATATGCTGTCCCCCCCTGCACGTGCACGGGGAACACCCATGTTACCGTGCCCCCCCTGCAAGTGCACTGTGCCCCCCCCATGTCACTATGCCCCCCCAGAGCCTCCTGGCAGCCCCTCCGCACTCCCCTGAGCCCCCCAGCACGGGCCAGCCGCCTCCTGCCCTGCAGCGCCAGCTCACAGCAGCGCCGGGCGACCCAAACCCTGGGCCCAGGCCGCAGCACCCGGCCTGACCCCTGCCCGGGGCTGCGGGCGGCTGTGCCCCGTGCCCGCCCGGGTGAGTGGGGCTGACGGGGCCACGGGCCAAGGGCAGCCTGTGCAGGAGGGAAGCAGGGAGGGGGCAAGCTGGCTGTTGAAGGGAAACAGGCAGGGAGAAAAGCCAGGAGGCCGCGCCGGAGCCGTGCCGCGGAGGGGCAAGCCGGGGCCGTGGCGCCGCCCAGGGCCTGAGGCAAGGGGCGAGCAGTACGTGGGGGCCGGCTTTCCGCTCCCCTCCAGGCGGGCCCCGGGGCTCCGTCCCCGCACAGCGACCCGGCGTGGGCGCGGGGCTGAGCCTGAGGCCCGTCCCGCAGGCACCGCGGGGCCAGGACCCTCAATGCCTCGCAGCCGGGGGACCCCGGCCCCTCTCCACCCCCAGGGCAGGAGCTGCCCGGCCCCGAGCGCGCGTGGAGACAGACACCAGCAGTGGGAGCAGCCGCCTTTATTGGTTCACAGCACGCGCAGCCCCGGTCCCCGTGGCCCCGTATCCCGGTCCGGCCGCGCCGCGCCGCTGGGCTCCGCTCCTCCTGGTCCGGGGCAGGCGAGGCGGCGGTAGAACCGTCACCATTACTAAACTCAGTAATGGTAACGGTTTCCCCGACGCCCCGGGGTTGTCGCTCGGTGTCCAGATGCCTTCGCCGGGGGCCGAAACGCCCTCTCGCCTCCGCCACGCCGGGGTCCACGCTTTGCCCCCCACCCTACACCCGCTGCCCTCGCCCCTGCTCCTGCCACCCCCAGGACGACGTGGCTGCGCTGGGCGCCGAGGAGGGGAGAGGCCGGGGTAGTACATCATCTATACTGTAGTGTCTCATATCCGACTTACAGTATACGATGATATCCTGCCCAGAGCCCCCCGCGCACGCCGGGCTCTACCGCCGCGCCGGGCGCACCTGGGGGCCAGGAGAGAGCGGTGTTAGGGGGGCGCCGGGCAGGGCTGGGGCTCCCTGAGCCAGTGGCAATGCCCACCCTGGACAGGGCACCAGGCCCGTGGCTGTGGGGACGTGGGGCAGTGCAGACGCCGCTGCGGGAGGGACCCCGCGAGCTGCTCCAGGCCACCCCGCAGCTTCCCACGCTCCTGGCTGGAAGCCGAGGCCAACCCTGCCCTGGGGAGCCCCGGCCTGTCTGCAGGGTGCCCTTGGCACACCCCAGCTGAAACCAGGGGGGCACGAGCCCCTTCCCCCTGGGGCCCCATACTTACCTGGCCGGGCCTGGACAGGCCTGGCTGCCTGGGCGGGACGGGGGGGGGGGGGGGGCCCGGCCCCCCCC